TTACGGGAATGCAGAGGGTATAATAATGACATTGTACCACTGTCAGTTCAGCCTTCGAATTTTAGTTTATTTCTTCCATTACCGATGACAGCTAAACTCTGAGTGAATTTGGATATATAATAGCAAATGTGATTCAGACAAAAACTATCTCTTTGCAAGCGACTATAGGTATCGTTATCATGCAAATAATTCACCATTATTTTCATTCTTTTAAGTTAAATCTATAGACTATTCTCTTTTCCTCCCTATTTAAGTATATAAATGAATTTGGTAGTTAAATCAGTAGGAAAATTATCCTGAGAGAGATTGATCTTAAATATTATGTTTCTGGACCTTTATGGCTGTTCTTAGCTGTCATTACATTAGATTAATTATTGTCCTTCTGAAGCTATATAACCAATATTGATTTACAAAGATGTTGAAAAGTATGATGATTCTACGGAAAATGCCCTACCACTCTTTTTATTATTATCAATATCTTTTCTCATCCCTACCACTCTTTTTATTATTATCAATATCTTTTCTCATACTTCCTAACCTTGGGGGATCTGTAGGGAATCAGGTGGAATGCATCCACCTTCCATATCCTCCTACCTTGGGCAGCCCATGAACCACCTTCCCTTAGGGTATTTCTCTATTGGGGACGAGCCCCCAGACCCCTTACCTGGGGCATTTTTTCTTGGGGCAAGTCCAAGGCCCTCTTTATTTAGGGCATTTCACTACCAGGGGCAGATCACTGACCTTCCCACAATAGAATATTCCCTTACTGAGGGCAAGCCCTTGGACCTTCCCTCCCTTGCGGTATTTAATTTAGCGTACTCTCTGATTAATCACACGGAAAATCACGATGTTGCCATTAAAACTAGAAATAAAAAAGATTGTGGGCATGTTAAATACATATGGGTGAAAAAACATTGGTTAAGGGATATTTAGTACTAAAAATAACATTGGTTAAGGGATATTCAGTCCTATTGTACAAGGAGCACACACCGCCATAAATGCCCTTCCTAGGAAGCTTGCAGTATTATTACATAATGAGGTTTTCTTGGTGATGCAACCTTTGAACTTTAATTACACCAAAGCCAGTGGGGTCACCACAGTTTTAATAACTTTGCCAACAGCTATGAACACTGTCTATAAGTCTATGGTATTTTCTGAATGTATGTAGGGAAGCCATCTTAATATTGCCACAATATAACTAATCTCATATAAGTATGAAATTCTAATCACCTCATTTTATTATATAATGTTATTGTAATAGCTAGATAATTCATATCACATGATTAGTATTATTCATCTTTCTGTCTTTAAAGAGGTTAAAGGAAATGTCAGAGCACTTGCCATGATAAAAAATCAAGTTTGCAATTGAGGTCATTGTAGAAAGTAGTGTGTGGATTATTCTTCTCAAGAGGCAAGTACAAACATTCTCCATGTTAACACTTTAGTTAGAAAAGGGAATGCCTTTATAGGTCTAAGATGAAAAAGTATTAGTTGTTTTCATGATTTATGATAAATTTGATAGCATATTTATTATCATTATAAAGATTCATGTATATATAGATATGTTGAGGTTCTCTTCTGTAACTACTACATTTGCCATATTTGGATATAACTTTTTTTTTTTTTTCCAGCAAACTGATGTAATGAAGTGTTAGTCTGTTACACGTGTCATTTAATGTACATCTGATAACATATCAGTTTTATCTCTCGACTGACCCTGTATTTGATTCAAGGTCTTAACAGCAACAATTAAACTGTACATCAAAAGATACCGGGGATGTTTTAAAATTGTAATTTCCTCTAAAAAAGGGAAGAATTTTGTTGGTACAAAAAAATTTTGTAAGCACATGTTAGAGTATTTGTATATGTACTTTATGTACAACTATGTTTATGTTTTAGTATAAGTATATGTGCATGAGACTGCATGTGCGCGCGTGCGTGCACACACACACACACGCACACACACACACCCACACAACCAACACCACACCACACACCACACACAACACACACACACACACACACACACACACACACACACACACACACACACACACACACACACACACACACACACACAGATATACACACACACACATGGACACATGCACACCTATGGAAATACACACAAACACACACACTAACACATGGACGCACACACATGGAAACACACTCACTCACACATCACTTATATATATAATATCACTTAAATGCTCATGCACACTTAAATTTATAGATATGTGTTTTTATTTCATGTCATTGAAATGAAACTGAACAGCCCTTAATATTTTGTTTTAGGCAAGAAAGGAAAGAAAACAAAAGGGAAACCTGTTCCCCTCGGGGAGTTCCTCGGCGCTGCCAGCCCAGGCGGCGGAAGTGCAGTTGTGGTAAACAAAACGAGCTGGGCTGAAGAGTCCGAGGATTATGATGGTAAATATATCTAACCCTCTATAGTCATTGCATCCCCCCTCATCTGTATGGTTTTTAGAAGAAAAAGGATTATGAAAATTATTTCATAGTCTTTTAATGGAATTTAAAAATAAGTAACAAGGATGGTAAATGAGAAAGTGAATTTTTCTCTTTTTTTCTTTTTCCCCCCTTTATTTTTCTTTTTTCGTGTTTTCCCTTTTTCTTTTGTCCCTCTTTTTTTTTTTTTTTTTTCGTTTCTTTTCTTTAAACATCAGAAGACCGCTACATTGCACCCGAGAGATTTGCGCTGCCAACGGCACCCGCACGCACAGCCCGTGGACCTGATGTGGATCCAGAGCGTATCCCAACCAGCCCGCCATTCACAGCTTATATTGCTAATCTTCCATTTGAAGTGGATGATCTTGAGATTGAGCGGTTTTTCACCGACTTAAAGGTAAGTTTGTCCCATTTTTCTAATGAGGAGTAAGAAAGTTTGAGCCATAAAAAGGAACTTCAAATTATTAGGTCAAAGCTGAACATGATAGTTTTAAGATATAAAGGCATAAAAGGGCCATATATAGAGTTATTTAATTTTTTCATTTTTTAATTATCATTTGTGTTGAATCCGCAGATTAAATCTATTCGCTTACCACGTGAAGGCGGAGAAAATGGTCGCTTCAAAGGATTTGGATACGTTGAGTTTGAGACTCGAAGTGACCTGATTGATGCCCTCTCTAAAAATGATGATGTGAGTATTATTGAAGGTTCAGAGTGATCCCTGTCAGTGGCATTAACCAGAGATGCAAGGTGCAGATTTGCTTGAGTTTGCTAAGGTATGAAGGATGCATAATTGAAGTCATTCAAGTTTGTGTGTGTGTGTGTGTGTGTGTGTGTGTGTGTGTGTGTGTGTGTTGTGTGTGTGTGTGTGTGTGTGGTGTACACGCATACATGGATACTCACAAGCACAGGCACGCACGCACAGGGAGACACACAGTCACACTGAGACACAAACACAGGATGAGATACACATGCAGGCTGAGAGAGAGACAAACAAACAAAAAAACAAACAGACAAACATACACACAGACACACACTTGACATATGCACATGGAAACCCACATGCACACACTCATGTGTACACACAGACACACACTTGACATATGCACATGGAAACCCACATGCACACACTCATGTGTACACACAGACACACACTTGACATATGCACATGGAAACCCACATGCACACACTCATGTGTACACACACGTGCACACTGAGACACACATGCACAATGAGAGACCTATTCACACTAGCCTAAGATACACACATGTATGCGTGCACACACACATGCACAAAAAGAAGAAAAAATTGTCCACAGTATTTATAGTAGTTGTTAATCACAGAATGTAATGTCACACAACAGTTGCACAAATTTAGATGTTAGTATATGAAGTTACTGATACCTGTACAATATTCCTCTAGGTTATGCGTAATCGCAAAATCCGCATTGATGTAGCGGAAGGGGGAGAGGGTGGTCAGAGAAGAGGATTTTCAGACCGTGGCCCTCGAGATGAGGATCGCATGGATCGCAGCGAAGGGGTCTCTGACTGGAGAGCAGCACCTAGAGATGCCCCGTCCCGTGACGGTAAGTAATTGTAATAGGAAGAGTAAGTCGTTAGCATGGACTAGAAAGAACGTGTGGAGTAAAAGTTAGTGTGAGAGAAATTTGCATGTAATCTTATTGATTTTATTAGTATTATTTTTATCATTATTTTTTTGTTCTTTTCTTTTTCTTATTCCATCTGCTCCTGTTTTTAATTTTTCTTTCTCTTTCTCTTTGTTTCTTTTTTATCTGCTCCATTTTTATTTTTTATTTATTTATTTTCTTTAATTAATTTATTAATTTATTTTATTTATTTTATTTATTTATTTTTATTTATTTTTTCTCTTCTTTTTGTCATCCTCCTCTCGACTTTTCTTTCCAATTCTTGGTTGTTTTTGGCTTTTTAAGCATATGTATATCTCCTTTCTTTTTTATCAGTTTATTTATTTCCAGAGAAAAGTTCAGTTCTTGTTCTTAGAAAAAAAATGAATTGATAATATATATAAATCCTGTGTATAATTGAATAATACAGTATGTGACAATTTACCAATCTTAATACTGGCTATCTACATACAGGAGGAAGGGATGATCGCAGTCCTGGCCGAGGAGGTTATGACCGCGACCGGCGTGATGAGTGAGTACATGAGTAACTGGTGAAAAGTTTTTGTTTTATGTTTAGAGGTTCATTATATTTTGGGGGGAACTTTGATATGTTTAATCATACTTGTCAGATGTAAAAAAGAATTGATGATTTCAAGAAGTCTTGTTTGTCAGAAGAATAATTTTGGAGATTGTCCTAGTATAGTTTATTTCACAGCTTTATGACAAGTGATATTACAGTATCTTTCTGTTTTTGTGATCATAGTCGTGGATTTGGTGATCGTGACCGCGGTGGATTTGGTGATCGTGATCGTGATCGCGATCGCGGTGGATTTGGTGACCGTGATCGTGGTGGCTTTGGTGACCGTGACCGAGATCGTGACCGCTATGG